GGTAGTATTCCACGGATTGAAAAATGATCTAGAAAAAGGCAGGGCAATAAAAGAAATGCCACCCCGTATGGACGTGAAAGGAGTTATTTGGTTGGACGGAATGGTCAACTACCTAAGTGGATTTTTACCAAGACTGGCAGAAATAATGACGCATATACGCAAACTGATGCACAAAGGAGAAGATCGGCCCTGGGACATCGAACAAGAGAAAGCCTTCAATCGAATAAAATAACTGATGTGGCTGCTCCAATACTCGCTTATTTCGATCCACCTCTGCCTCTCGAGGTACAGTGCGATAGAAGTCAGCATGAAATTGAAGCGGTGTTAATGCAAAACTGAAAACCACTAGATTCTCGAAGTCGGAGTTTGGCACTAGCCGAACGCCGTTATGCACAAACAGAGAAGGAGATACTCACAGTTGTATATACGGTCGAAGGCTTTAACGACTATGCGTTTGGGTGAAAGACCACCGTATACACAGATCACAAGTTATTGGTGTCCATCATCAAAAAGCCACTACATGTTGTGCTGTGCCGTCTCCAGAGGATGCACATCCGGCATCTTAAATACGCTCTGGAGATCGTCTACCAACCTGGGACACAAATGTACAATGCATACGCGCTGCCGAGAGCTCATCTTCCGGATGCAGGTGCAGTGTAAGAAGACCTCGACACGGCTCACGAGATACAGCAACCCGCCGTTATTGAATAGCGTTTACGACAACTGCAACGTTGCACGGACAAAGATGCAGTTGGTAAAACTTTGGAACGAACAATGGATGATGGATGGCCAGAGGATAAGTAGCACATGTGTGGACACCGACCATGCACTTGTATGTGCTGACATGCAGATGCGTTTTGGCGGACGCCCACAACGACGCTGTGAGCGCATTGACCCCAGTCAAATGACAAAGCCAGCTGTTCTGAATGCCTATCAAAGTACGCTGACATGCCAGTTAAGTAAGCGCTCACAGGAGACAATTGATGGTCACTGGTCGCAAGTTCACCAGACCTTACTAGCAGCAGGCGAATCCTCATGTGGTATGTCTAAAAGCCCAAATGGATATTGGGTCTCTTCGTGGTCTCTGGAACTTATCGACGCTCGAAGGCATATCCCGGCTGGAAGCGAACACAATGAAACTCGTAAAGAGCTCCGGGCAAAATTCCGTGCTAGATAGAAGAGAGACCGCGAATCTTGGTGGTCTCATCGTGCGTCAGAGATGAAGTGGCCGCTGCCCTTGACAACCATTGTATGTTAGTCCGTCTGATACGGGAAACGGGCAGCAGGAGACCTGGTGTTAGTGAAACTATACGTGACGAGAGTGGACAGCCTATTCACAATTTGTCAAAACGTTTGAAGCATTGGGCTGAGCACTTTGAAAAGCGATTTAATCGGCGAGAATTGTTTGATTCGTCACCGGCCAGTGATCGCCCTGCTCCATGGGCTGTCCCTTTGGATCCACCCTCACGCTCAGAAGTCGAACGTGAGATCGGACTGTTGAAGTTGAAAAAAGACGCGGGACCAGATGATCCTTCTCCAGCCCTCTTCAAAATCGGAGGCTCTACTCTTGTTGAGGCTTTACATGAATTACTAGGGAAACTGCTGCACACGACATTGCCCTCATCTGTGACAGCTCCCAGACGTGCCAAGCTGCACTGCACAGATTAGCACTGGCTGTCAGCCGCTTCGGGCTTTGCTTTGCACCCTCGAAGTGCAAAGCGTTCCTCCAAGATTGGCAGGGGTCGCCTCCTGCGCTGACCCATGGTGGAGATAAGCTAGAAGTCGTTCGAAAATTCAACTACCTGGGAAGTTGTATCAGCGCTCTTGGGATTGTAGATGAGATCACGAACCGTATATCAAAAGTTCGAAGTGATTTTGCTAGTCTTCGCCATCTATGGCGGCGGCGCGACATTACTCTCGCCCTAAAGCGTAGAGTGTACAATGCAGCCGTACGTTCGACCCTACTGTACGGTTGCGAAACCTGGCCCCTAAGATGAGGCGGACATGAAGAGGCTAGTTACATTCGACCATCGGTGTCTTCGTAGTTTGGCTCACATCTGGTGGGAACACCACGTGAGCGACGAACGTGTGCGACGCCTTGTTTACGGCACAGGGAAAGGAACTGAACCGCTCAGCACTGTCATTTCACGCACCAGGCTCCGATGGCTCGGCCATGTGTTGCGCATGCCAGCCCACCGACTTGCGTTGTTTTCTCACAGGGGATGTGGATGGAAGAAGAGGAGGGGTGGCCAAGAGATGACTTGGTCCAGTGGAATGAAGGCCCTCAATTCGGAGGTGGCCTCGGTTGGAGCGTCACGGCTCCCTGGTTGGGGTCCAAAAGACGATGAACACGTTTGCTGGATACACTTGCTGACATGGCAAGGAGCCGACCTCAGTGGCGTTTCTGCTGTGAGTTTCTTTGTCCCTCCCCATCCCTTTTAGCCACCCCTTCCAACCGATATTCCATTTCGTAGCATAAAACATCATTTTTCTTGTTGCCTAGTAGCCGGCTGATAGCCTACCGGAACGATGCCTATCCGTTGCTGGTAGCTCAGCTGGCATGCAACAGTTGTATTTATTTTCCTTTTCCTTTATTTATTGCAGCACAGTAGCTGAGGTGTTTCCCACCTCTAGCTGACGCGTATTATGATGATGATGTGAAGATAAGGAGAATTTGCCAGCAGTAAGGACACCGTTTTTCCCTTTTCGTGCTGAATTCGTTGCAGAAGACGGTTTGATTCCCAAAGGAAATCGAATGTTAATCCCAAAGAGAATGCAACGCACTATGCTGGACATGATTCATGGTGCACAAATGGGAGTGAATAATTGCGTCACAAGATGCAGAGGCTGATGTTTTGGCTTGGGGTGGCCAGTCAGATTGGGGAATACGTGTCGAATTGCTCAACGTGTGGAGCACATGACGTTGGTCAGACGAAAGAACAAGTGGCGCATCGAGAAGTTCCGGAAAGGCCATGGCAGAATGTGGTAGTCGACCAATTCACACACCATGGAAAGGATTGACTAATCAAGGCAGATATCTTCAATGATTACCTTGAGACTGATGCACAGCCGCTGTTTTTGTTTCTGGGAAGGGTTACACGATACATTATGCTTCGCGCTCACTGCGTACGCTTTGTTTGAGCTACCGACTGACAGAAAGGCGCGCTTCATTATTATTAGACTCCGCTGGGACAATTCTGTCGCGGTCAAATATATCCAAGGAACGCGTGGAAATTCGTGCCTTTACAGGGTGCAGAGTAAGATCACAGACTAACTGTCCGGAAGAGACCATGGTCTGTTGCATGAAGGCCCAGTATTCTTTAAGGTCTTGCGGTGGGTCGAAGCTGGGTGCATCAATCAGGGAAGATTGACAGTTCAGTTGAACTGACTGAGGAGATAGTTTATTCGTATCTGCTTCATTTTTATGGACCCTCCGAAACGTACGCAGATGTTTGCACAGACAAGAGCTTGGTCTGAATCGGGAAATGTGGGCCAGATTGATCTGCAATCCATTGCACTACCCCGTCATCTGCAACTGATCGAGATATGATCAATCTAACACCATGATCGAATCGTAGAAGGGAGTCCCCAAGTGGCGGAGTCTCCTCAAATGCCGGAAGCTGGTGCTCGAGAGAAACGGGCGACTATCTTCACACAATATGAGAAGTCTCTCTCCATTATCTGAACTGCACTCCTCGGGCGCATTGTGACCAACGAGGTCACTTTAACATGATAATGACGACCAAACCGCGCGTTGAGATGCACAGCAAGGATGATATCATCCTTCATTAGATCACAACTGCAGGCAGCTGAAGCGTACACTGGGATCACAAACAAGTTGCGTCTCTCCTCACGACATTTATTGGTCAAACATGATCCCTAAAGCCGAACTGCACACAGTCGGCTATTTATCGGAAACCAGTCCAGCAGTGCGGCCTCGGCATTGCCCCTTAGTGCTACACCAACGCCAGAAAAGCTTGCCACAGGTTGATTCTGTGTCAACAGATGGCTCCGTGATCGGTGTGATATCAACTCAATCACAGCACTGAGATCTTGCAGTCGGGTTTCAGAAAGACAGCAAACATCAATGGCGAAGGATTCCAAGATGTGCGCAAGACCAGCCTGTTGCCCGATATCCATGAGCGTACGTACACTGAAGCATGTCAGACAGAACGAGGATCGAGGCCGAAGGCTAGCGACTGCGCCAGCTCTGTGGCCGTCAACGAAACCGTCGGGAGCAGAAGCATGACAACAGGAATCAGCTGATAACTGACATTGGTGAGTGACAACAAACGAACAGATGGCGTGTGAAGGTGTGTGAGGAGCAGAAGCAAAAGCAGCCGAGCGTGATATAGAGCAGATCCGTAGTTGCATCAGGAGGCGTGATACTACCCGTTTACCCAAGCCGAATAAGGGAGTTGTCGTAGAGGAAACCACCGCAAGCCATTGCCTACCAGCAAGGCAGCGGAACGAATTCGGGGAGTCGCGACTGTTGGCAGCTGGTGACCGAGTACACAGTTCAGATGTCCTTTGTTTAGTCGGTTAACAAACAGGGGCCCAATTTTCCCCACAGTTTCAGCATCAAGTTGTTAGAATATGATGCTCCAGCAGAGTGACTTTGTTTATTGGCGATTCAGATCCACCACGTCGTAGAGTTGTAAATAGATATTGTATCGATAGAACGCTTGTCAGGCGAAAAGTCATTACGTCCCGGAACACCACGGCTGAACACTTCGCTGGACCGGGGTAAACCAGAAACATCTAGCTTGCACCATGAGGCCGCAGTTCTGTAAGCTAGTCAACTACCGTGAATAACTCAACGGATGGAAAAGCTATGAAAAGTAAAGTGGCATACCTGCATCTTCGCTATGACGCAGTTATATAGCTTAAATTATGTGTCACCGGTTAGGCAGATTGTCAGTAATGAATTAGAAGCATGGGTTCGCATGAGAGGAATTTACAAGGTTAAGATGAAGCGAACGGTACCGGCAATCATTGCTTTAGAACAGCTCGGCGAAGTTAGTTCTGTGCAGACAAAGCAACTTACTGTTATTCGTAGTGCTCTCGAATGAAGTGGAAAAGCAGGCTGTCTCACTGTCCAACCCTCGAATTCCATCGGTATGGTTGGTAGAGATCCGATTGTAGGAGGAATGTACAGCCTCGGTGTCAGTGATGTCTTCTCGGAATGTAATGGCTGGAGCGCCGTGCTTGGCGTTCTTGTGTTGTTCCAGAGTGTGCATGTCCGGAAAGCGCTGATAACACTGACCACAACCATAAGCGTAAGGCGAGGAGTCGTATAATCTTCGGCTGACGCGTCCCAGGTCCACCACTACTAGGCCTTCTGCGGGTGTAGTATCCGCGAGAGGAACCTGAGGACGCAAGAAGAGGATGCGGATACAAAACGGTCACCGTTTGCGCTTGTTGTCTTCCTAAATGAGGGTCTGGGGTAACCAATGGCTGACTATTATACTAGATGTGGTGTAGTTAAGAGACCAGCAGCGTACTTGCATTCTTTCGCTGATTTTCGATACTTAACTACGTCCGCTGTTCGTGAAGGTCTACCAATTTCAACCTAGTTAGCTGCGATTAAATAACAATTTGCGATGAGCAATAATAACTGGTCAAGTGGTCTCGCCGTACTACGGTGCACGGAACAGACTTGATCAACTGACTATGTTCGTGTACAAACTGACAATGAGCGGAATAATGAACAAGACTGGACCAGATGGTGATGCGTCGATTTGCGTACCTTTTCGACGGGGCCCGTTGTGAGTTACTACCAGGTTATTCAATGGTTAGAGGTAATACAAAATCAGTCTCCTGATCTTCCAGGTTGAGGGTTTGAAATGGGATGGCGTCCATTTCTGAAAAGTAAATCACTGCCACCTCTCAAGTGTCTTGCGGACAGGATTTTGAATCAAAGGCTTTGGGGCTTTGGTAGAGGACCATAAACATCCTGCTGTCTAGGGTTGGGTACCCTGTTAGTATCTCATCTTCGTACTACCTTGACTTTTTTCAAACTGCGACCATATCTTACATCGTCCCTCACGCAGCTTATCAAGGGTCGCCTTATCTGCTGCATAGAGTAGGACGGATAAAAAAAATCATGCTACTGTTGGCGCCTGCTTCCTTTCTTTTCCAGTGGTCTCTTGTACTCCCCTTCTGACCCCCATTACTAGCCCTTGTTCCGTAGTTCCCAGATTAATTGACATTAGCCGCAATGCTTCTGCAGTCACACTAACTACAGTTGTCTTCCCACAAAATGCACTGGGCGCCTATCAGCAACAGCCCCTTATAAGTCCCCATTGGCCCGTTTCCCCAGTGGTGTTCAACGTTTGTACTCTAAGACAAATAGGTCAGCAGGCTGCACACGCGCGCAGGTTGGACACATTGGGTATTGAGGTATATTTTGTGTTCAAAACTAGGATTAATGACCCTCACGGCGCCCGAATTTCCTTTTGCTATTGGTTGCATGCACCCGGAGACACTGATGCGACAATCACTGGGCATCGTTCTCAGCTCCAAGGTTGAGTTGTCGCTGGTTGATTGGACTCCCGTGAGCAGCCCGTTAAACCACAGCAACTAAGAAGAGAAGAAGAAGTAGTACAAGACGCTGTTTGTTTGTGGTTTCCGCTTATGCTCCCACCGACTGCAGCTCTGATGCTGACAAGGACACATTCTACCACGGACTGAACACGTTGCTACGAAGTGATGCCAGTGCAGATATCATATTACTTGCAGAGGAGATGAATGCACAAGTAAGTCGCCTGGGCAATTCAGAAGCTCAGCTAGGTGATAAATATGGAGTTAACTCCGCCCGGACGGACAATGGAGAGCGCCTGTTGCAACTGTGCGCTGATCACCAATAGTAGCACTACTTTTAGACACAGCGGGCGCCGAAGTGCCACTTGGCGTCCCCCGATAGCTGGCCAACAAAAGACCTGAATTGATCAGGGTGTCATAAGTTACAGGTGGCGTGGTTCCATACTGAACCCTTTCGATCTGAGGCCCTTTCAAATCTCTAACCATCGCTGACTGCGAAGTATTATTGGTGTCGGATGGCAGCAGCGTGCCTGCAACGATGATGTGCGTAGGCGAGTGTTAGGCAGTGACAACCAAGCTAATTCCTTAAAACAACAGACAGCACTGAATAAGTTGCGTTGGCTTGGGCACGTACCACTTATTCCCGGTCACCTTTTACCGAGGGGAGCCCTGGTTTGTCTGCCAGATGCAGGGTTGCATAAGGCCCGACGTAGGCAGTAGTTAACTTGGCAACGGGAAATGAAGTCGTTGGCGAGTGACCGCCTTGTGTTTGGGTCGAGACGTCACTGGACATGGCTAGCAGTCAGCTCCAGTGGCGCGTCTACTGTCGTCTCCTAGATGCACTGCCTGATAAAAAATTTGTCTGGTGTTGAATTATCTGCGGAGTAATGGCTGATTATTACGCGGGGAAGTGACAGTCGCAAGTAAGCTGCCTCTCCAATGCCGCCTTACCTTCACACGATAGCGAGCTGTTTGTGACGGTATTTTGATGACATAAGGTGTAGGCGCCATGATTTTGAACGTTTGCTTAGGATACTAAGATTATATGCTAGGTTCTCCTTCTCTCTGTAGATCACCGTGGTTGTACGGCAGCGAAACACAGGTCAAATTGTTGACGTAATGCTTTGCTGTTGATGATGGTGATGAACAGTGTAAATATGCAGCGAGAAGACATAAATCTGTGTAAGTCTTTACACATTTAGTTGAATGCCTACATAGAATGTTACTAATTCCTGTGCGTGTTTGGAAGATTACAAATATACAATGTCATAATTAGGTGCGATACCTACTTTCAATCTCAAAACTGAGAATTGGGTGTCCAGGAATTTCTTGAATTCGGACACCGAGTTCGCCTCGACTATAGGTTTTTGCAAACGGTTCCAACACTTCACGAGAGGAGAAAAACCTATGTGAAATTGGAAACTAAGTCGCCGTGCGTGGTCCTAAATGCTGGATGCCGCAGAGGAAATCCAGACGGAGCCCGTTCTTCTTGAAGGAAATAAGCTTCTAAAGTAGGATATTTTTAGATAATGCTAAGCTGATGTTGTAAAGCTGGCTGTTATGGTCACCAAAGTTGCACCGGGCTGCTCTGATTGGCTGTTCGAAGAAACTTACCCGCTCCGATTGGCCGATCAAAAAGGCAAAGTCGTAGTTACAGTGTAATAGCCGCGAGACACGAGATGAAGACACAGCGCAGACTACCGATATTTATTTGTTCGTATCGGTTTTCTTGAAACTTCGCTGTTCCTTTCCATTCTTTAGTTACCAATAACAGTATTAGATTGTGCAAGAACATTCTTTTGATCAACTAATGTGATTATTCTCCATGATTTCTAGAAAAAATGGCTGGAGTTTGGTCCGTTTAGGGTTCACTGATGCACTCGTTAGGAGATACCCCTCCCAACATGGACAAAAATAGAAAATGTGTAAAATATATGTCTTAGCATTATATACCTTCGAATACCCGCTAGCTGAGATATTGAAGTAGGCACGTAACGTCTGAGGGGTCGCACACACTCAAAGAGGCTTTCGACGGAAAACAATCAGACACCTGCCATATACGGCAGCCAGTGGCACCGTGAACGGTAGCAAACTAGTAAATCTTCAGTTCAATACGTATGAGTGACCGCATAGGCGCACAGAAGTTGTCAACCAGTTTACCTTAGTGAAACACAACGATACGCAAACTACTGCGCACTGGCCAATGCTTGCCGCTACGAATAAGTACAATCGGAGGCAAGGTCTCATTCGTAACCGAAAGTCGCTGTATCAAGATGAGGTGTACGGGCTGGTTTGCGTACAGAAAATTGGTTAGATTGAGTGAAACTACCAACTTACCTCACTCATCGATCGGTTATTATTTGAGTGTATCTGACCCCAGTTCGTGTCGCACAGTTCATTTTCGAGTGAGTGCGCTTTTGAGCGGCATGCTTCCCATTTAAAAACGCGCGGTTTCAGCATGGAATGTTGGGAGTTTGTGTGTTGTACTAGTTCCGCAAGCCCGTCGACCTCGGCGGCACACAAAGAACACCGCAGAACCGATTGGAAGTAGAAAGTTTTATTGGCGGACGCGTTGCACCTTGTCTTTGCAGATTGTTTGGGTTTATGAACCTCAATCACAGTGGAATCTGCCTCACAACCAGAATCTTCAGGTGTGCATGCGAATAGTTTAACCTTCTTTGTGTTGGAGGAGATACCACGCTGGTCCATTTCGCCTGGATGACCCAAACAGTGCACCTTCAAAAACGTTCATAAACAACACCCAACTAACAAAGCAGGAATACAAAAACTGGCATGAAAAGGAATTTGTTGGGAAAATGATGTGAATATCGTGAGGAGAAGCGCTGTCCAAAATCCCTAGTAGACAAAGAGTCAGGCTGTGGAGTGTCCTTACACACAGCCAAATACGAAGGACAATTTGTGACACGAATATTATATCCGGATCGCACTAATAAATAAGTAGGTAGATATTTTATTCTAGGCAGTACGAGGTATTCATGCAAAGGCATGCTCATGATAATACAAGACCCGTATGGTCGGTAATTATACAAAAATGTTGCGAGTTGACCAATAACATACTGGATCTGTGTGTGTATGGGTGTTTGTAAGCTGGATAAATTTCATTCCACTTTATTTGGTTTGCTCTGTCTACCTGAATAATCTTCTATTAACTGGCCACGTTGCTTACGTTAATTGTGGTTATCTTCGTTAAATTTATTGCATGTGTAGCATTTTTGAGCAACTTGTGCAACATTTTGTACTTATCGCGGATTCGTTGCTAACCAAGTTACTTCATATGCTAATTTAGCGAAGAATTATGTCTGTATAGCGGTATGCTTTAACATATATATTTTATTTGATAATGTCATTTCAAGTGATTGACTGTTGTTTGACATCCCCGATGTGGCTGCGCTTGATGTGTATGTTGACAAGGTGCCTACCTATCTATTACCCACTACCTCGTCCATACTGGATCCAGGAGACAGTTGGTCGTTGTTGAAGGGGACGGGGTGCACGGTCCGTGTGGCCGTGCTAGGTTCGAAGAGTGGTTTCATGTCCTCAGTGTGGAGCGGACTACGGGCCAGCCACCGCCTTGTGTGCACTTGCTTCTCAAATACAGTGTGATTGTGTTTGCCTGTGAAGGAGTGTGGACCGGCTCCGTTGATGAAACGGCTCCCATCCACATGTCTCCCGGTCTTATTCGTTCGGGTTTATACCGAAAATGGGGTGTGGTTGGAGTTGTGGGTGGTGCAGCGCAAACCATCCATGGTCCCTCTGTAGGCGCAGGTGTCTTGTGGTTGGCCAATCCGAAACCGGATGCCACCAACCAGGTGTATGTTCAAGTGGACATAATGAGTGAATTTGCTAATGTGACTCAAAATTCGTGATTTAGTTCACCGTGTTCGCCATCGTATGAAGGGGAAAAAAGGAACTCTTCGAAATGAAGGAAGTTCGTGAAGTGGGAAAGATTCTCCGGAAAGGAAAGAGACAGTGATTTTATTTGGTGGCGAGTCACATTCTCCACGTCAGTGTTATTAAACGAACATTTGTGGCATTTTATAAGGAGAAGGCTTGCCAGGCGAAAATCCACCACGTCTTGGAACACTGCCGCCGAACTATTCGGTGGGACGGGATTAATCCGAACCACCCAGCTGGTACCATGGGGAGATTGTTCGGCTAGCCAGCATTGTGTATTATCACTGAACCACTGTGATGGTGGATTTAGTCAAACCGCTTTGGGAAGGGAAAGCGAGAGGTAAGAGGCAGAAGCGGCAAATGGTCGATGTGACTCTACTCATGGGATTTAGATGGGCCCGGTCAAACAGAACACTCCAGACCAATGGGGACGAACAATAGCGTTAAGCATGAGGATGGATTTAAGCGATGCATTGCAAAATTGTGGAAAACAAAAGGCGAACTCTACGACGAGTTAAACGTATTATGAGACAATTTTTCGGTGAGAACATGTATACCTGACAAGAAGAAGACATCAGCAATACGCCGGCATATCCGATGCTCGTTGCCACACGACCATGGAGGGCCGCGCGTGGGCTGAGTAAATCGCGAGGTCGGCCGCTTCTACGTGGATCCGAACTGGTGATCATCGGAGTACAAGCCAAGCGAGTCCAATTAAAAAGATGTCGCAATAATAAACGGCGTATCGGTCCTAAGCCGATGATATTCCAGCTGCCACCGCATATACAAAAGGACTCAAAAAGGTTACAATAATATTGGAACAAAAGTAAGTGTTATTCGTTCGTCGTTTGGATGGAACCAACTCAGAACAGAACTAGAGGTGTGAAGAGAAAAAATAACGTCATCGATCAAGAGCGACCGCAGTTCCAGGTGCAAAAGTAACTGATACTGACTCAGAACATACTGTGTTGACACGCGATGTACTAATGGGCGAAGCCGGTGTCGGAATTCCTAGATACCCACTTTACGGACTACAGAGTCAGGGAGCGCATCGCATCCGAATAGCATATGGCGCAGCTGTAATACGCGGCAGATGCGCAGGAATCAGTGACATGGTTCCGCGATGTGCCCGAACTAATTATGATGGAGCAACACAGACGTATGTCTACCAGCTCTCTATTTTTAGTATGCAGTAAACTACCTCAACTTTGTGCGTTAAAGTGCTCGTGAAAGCACGTTTGTTGTTGTTGAGAATGCACAGAGGAACTGGGTCATCTCACATTTTTGATATTTCTATTTGAATTTACAATGGGAGGTTTATGTTCGAAAGTTCAATTAACACGTGGTGGGAGCAAGAATCGTTAACTCATAATGAGGCATAGTAAAGTTCAGCACAGGAGATCACCTGTTCCAGACAATTCGAATGAAGGGAGAAAGCTCACTCGAATGCTTGACCCCAAAGATATCGGCATCGCTTGAGACCGGTGGCGCAGATAAAACAAACGCCTGTCCCAAAACTGTGGAATGGAACTGGTAAATCTTTGAGAATTGGATAGAATTATAGCCGTTAGATTTGAGAAAATGAGATACGAATACTGTCACCTGATGAAAAACGATACACAAAAGGAAGTGACACCATCTTAGCTCAGACAACACTCACACGAAATGCGTCTTCCGAAGTGAAAGTGAGCGAACACACGAAGCAATGAATTTCATCCGGAAATTTGTTTGTCTTGGTGATGGTGGTCGTGTGGGATAATACGTCTTCCTCGATAGCGGAAATGCGACTATCGGGTAGCGGGTCGATCTCAACTAAAGAATGCGAGAAGCCGAAACGAGCTGCGTAAGGAGGTGAATATGTAACAACTAGTTCCTGTCCGGAGCGCAATTGCCTTGTCGTCAGGAAGAAAATGCCATCCGATCCTTGCTGATAGGCAACTGCATTCGGTAGGCTATGAGAGGAACTCAGCTGGTCGTTGGACTTCTGAACCAAGCGTACGAACATCATCCAGTTGCACAAGGCCTCGTTACCTAGTCTCAGATACCGCACACTTGGGACGCCACTTTCGGGATCAAACACCTCCAGACGGAATGGGCAATCAGCCTGGAAACGAAACGAGCGGTGAAGCATACAGGATGCAATGTGAAGATCTACTGCCGTGCCAAGAAGCAAAAATGAGACGTATCAGAGCAACTGAACATATTCAACTCTGAAAGAGTTCATATAAATGTCCCTTGATAGGTGAAAGAAAGAAAAAATAGCTGATAAACAAAACAGCTGGTTCAGACCGTTTTAGCCCTGCATGCCAATTCAGCTAAAACTGTCGACGTGATCGAGCTTATCCGTCACTCAGCCACCATTAGCTAGAATGGATGCGTCCCACTACCGTGAGCTGAACAGATTCAGATGTTTTCGATGAACAAAACAGTTAGAGATTCCTCACGGAGCGATCTATAACAAAAGAGCACGCATAGGTGATCAGAATTACCTTAGCAATCACGCTTAATGTGATAAGCAAAATTTTTGGAATATCATATGTTTCATTTGGGCTGAGTGTACATCTATGGTTTGACTAATTTACATAGTTTGTATGACATGACACTTAGGTTGGTACCGCTTAGCCAAGGATAAGATTCAAAAGAGAGAGATCAAGTACTCTTAGGATCAGGATGCGTTCTGTTTTGACCAGAGTATCGCAGAGGTGGTGACAATGTCAAACTGGTTAGTCGGGTCATAGATGGGAAAATGTAGGTACCCAGGTGGAAAAGCTGTCTAATCTGAGCCGCTTACAACTTGTAGACTGTTTTTCGAATAACCCGAGCGGTGACTTAGATAACCCCAATGTGTTGAATGTTGTCTGGCTGGCTGCTTATCATACACGACCCGATGGTGACTTAGCAGGGGACGTTGAATATTTAACGGCATACAGAATTGGCATATAAAGTTAGTAAGGAAGTCCCGACTATATCATACTAGTATACACAAACCGCTGAATATTGCTCACTTTGGGCTGGATTAGATCAAAGAGCAAGGTAGCTCGAAAAATGTACATTCAGTTCTGATACATGGTCGTCACGGTAAATATGAGAAACGCTCCTATAAGCACAGTGAAAAGGGAAAATAAATACAGGCTAAATGCATCAAATCTTCCAATCCAAAATAAGGCGAATAGTGGAAAACCAGTTGCATTTTGTATTATTCAAGTACATAGGGAACACTTACGATATCTGATTAGAAGCTTCAGCGTGGCGGGAACGCTGAAGACCGATAAGCAGACTGGCACACATTTCGAGCAGGCGTCGGTTCAGTACCCGCATGTTCAAAATGTGGGGTGTAATAATAATAATAATGTGTCAGCTGTACGCCGTAACGGCGCTTCGCTGCCGCGCAACCACCACCAGTCGCGCGCAGGCTGAGTATACCGCGAGGACGCCCACCCCTACGCGGATTCGAACCGGTGACCTTACGGTTGCCAAGCAAACGTGCAGACCACTCGGCCACCGGCCGAAATGAAGTGTAGTACAGGATAGTTGAGTCTAACCTAATGCTCTAACCCTCAACGAGTAACGCTCGGCCATGGAGTTCGTCGAACAGTCACAGTAGCTGTGAACAACAACCCAGGCACCAGGGATCATGTTGGGGCGATTCGGAGGATATAAGTCAAAGTGAGCTGAGCGGTGAGGTGACACAAGACTGCATCATATCACAGGTAAGAAAGGCGTGTAGAAAAGCGCTATGCCTGGGGCGCACCAGAGATCGAGTAGTATATGAATCTGATGATAGTGAGTTACCCAAAAACGTGACATCCAGACAGTTCTAATTTCCGGGCGTGTACGTCGATACCGCATTTAAACAGACAGCTATCGCTCATCCGTAGGGGCACTCTGCAGTCGCTTCAACACTTTGAGACTCGTCCATAGTGAAGAACCTGTCCTAAGAGTGCTCAAAACCCCCGAATAGCATACTCATGAAAAAGCATATCCACTTAACTAAAGCAGATATATAGATAGATAAAGTGACTGGGAATACCAAATTACGAGCTGCTGACATGTGCTGCGTTTGAAAAGCAAATGAAGAGATCTCCACAATTAGCGCTCATCACCCATGGTCCCGGCATCAAGGTGCAGTAAACCGCGTTGCACAAATGCAAGTGGTTATGGGGCGAAAGGAGAAAAATGTTGAGAATGGGAAACAGGAAAAAACAAAATAAGTTCTAGCAAGGTGGTGCACAGTAATTTGAGTACCGAAATGGGGGGCAAAAAAGCATAAACTAAAATCATAAGGGGAAATATGCAAGAATATAATCTTTGGATGGAGAGATAAATAAAGAAAAAGAGTGGAATGAATGAAGGAGTACCAACGACGTCGCAGCTGTACGATTTCCGATAGGGTGTTTAACCAACTGGGACCTCACTATGTACAACGGTATGTATGGAGCCAGAAAGCTTCTTTGGTCACCTGAAGATTTCTCACCATCCAAGCGAGCGCCTAAATGAGAAAAATTACTCCAAGTTAAACAGCAGACCATGAATCGAAAACTGTGAACAACCAGAGCGAAGGATTCAAGTTAAAGAGAAAACGTAGTGCGGTAGTAGGTAGTCTGTCACCGGACACCAACTCGGGGGTATCAGCACTACTCACTCGGAGCCGACGCCAATGCGACTAGGGTCGGGGAACGGTGCTCATGGCCCTCTGATCTAGTCAACCTGAGGGCTTCCTAAACGAGAACGGCCGCTAATTAGGAGTCAGACAAGTTTGATTTCCTGAATTTCACGAGTAGGGTTCGGAACCGAGGCGATAGATCTCTGGGTCTATAGAATCCGTTAAAAGCCCGAACAATGAAGCTAATGGAGATTGAGGAATTGTCAAAGTCCAAGCCAAAAACAACCAGGAATATTACGACAGATTTCAATCGCATCTTGTAACCGCCATCACGCAATTTCAAAAGTTCATTAACCACTGGATATAGCATGGCGGAGAGCAAAAGCAGGCAAATACTGAAGCCATGCATCAGTGATCTCCATTTGTTGTACTTATATCTTTGCCGATCAACATAACCAAGCTGCCTTCTGTTGTCTGCGGCACAAGTGATGGCGAATGTAATGCCACTAATTTTTCTATCATCTGGCATCACAGCTCCCAGTAGTTTGCAAACACTTAGAAGCAATCACCCCGGCTTACTGCCCAATTTCCTTTTATTTGCTATACACGCTCTACTGCAATGTGGTCGCAAAAGGAGATTGCGTTTAGATGCACGCGCCCATATATTGAGGAGTTTTGATATTTATGCGCGTTGCGCATCCGATAGCAAAATTCATGACTGCCACGTGGTTATCAAGCCAACTGCGCTTATCACATCCTACTGCCATTAGTTGGGTCTATGAAAGGAATGCTAATGCAGCAAATGCAGATGAAGATAGAGCGCACGTCATGTTCCGCGAAATTCTAGCTGGTTGACCGTATTCCCGTGAACATCAGTTTTCGTGCATTCCGTTTAACAAAGCTGACAAAGGTAATAGTAAGGTCCAGTGGCTAACACCTACGAGCAAGCTGCAGATAAAATGAGCACGCATTCCTAAACCTAGGTGCAAAGACATTGTGTGTAGGTCAAAGCACAAAAGATAAGTGGAACAGAATCTGAGAATACAAAACACGCACTTCATCTCCAAAGACGGACTAGCTTGAGAACAGCCCAAATAAGAGACTCGGTGGTAGCAGTGGATGACCTAGATGCATGGCAAGAAAAGGAAGGCGTATGTCGTTAAGAATGGATTGACAACAGGACTCAGAAGATTTGTTGCCGAGTTATTAAAATCTACCAAAGTCAAAGACTCACGAAGAGAATGAATAGTATGCGGCTGCCGCATTTGTGAAAGATCGTCTAAACCCGGCCAGCATGAAGAACGTGGGTGGATGAATTCAGGTTGGAGATCGACACATTATCAGTCGAGCCATAACTAGAGAGAACTGTGTCAACGCAATTCGACTCACGTCTTTGGTCTCAAACAGACTCCAGCTTGTCGAGTACTCATTTTCTTCTTCCTTACTGGGGGGTTGGTCTCCTTTAAGTTAGACACAACAGAATGAATTGTAACGCGCAATCTCAAGCTGGGCCATGAATAAAGTTGAAGCGAATCTTGACAAGCTGGGCCATGTAGGATGCTAGAAAGACGTCTATTGATAGTGAGTGAAGTACAGTGAACAGAAAGTGACAAAAGAACATCGGTGATGAGGTTTCGAGGTGTATAGTCCGGACGTCTTTGTTGAGAAAAGTCGTTTTCGGCGATACTCACCCATGGCCTTTGGTTTAACAAGTTAGTTCACTGGGCAGTAGAACAAATGCAGGCCAACATAGTAGACTGAGTTTGTGCCGAAACTATGACACATGTAAAACGTGTTACTGTGGTGCCATGAGAAGACCAGCTGTAGGTTGGTCACGTGAAGCGTTAAAGGACTCAGACTATTGTAGACTACAAGTTGCATTAGATGAGGTGCCAACAATGATCGTGAAATTCAAGTGAGGTAGCGTGTTTGCACATTAGTGACCGCGAGGTGATTGGCCCCAAGTGAGGGGTAGTAAACAAGTGAACGACATATCCAAAGGCTCAGGAACTACGCCAACCCAAGGTAGGATGCGCGAACAGTCGTTTTTTATGGTTGAGTTTTAGCGGAGAAAAATACCGACCTTCAAGCAACTTGCGATGGGGAGCAGATTGACATCGATTTTGTATGACTCGAAGTCAATATGTTTAATATATTGTGTCAATGGAGCGAAGTTGGGTGCTCTTCAGTGGGAGACGATAAAGAATAGGCAGCCGCGGATGCGCTTATATACAAAAGTTAGTTTTAACCCCATCATCATCGTCATCATCATCACCCATACACGTTAGCTAGAGGGAGGAAAACTTCAGCCATTGTGTCGCAATAAACGAGGAAAAATGAGACACAACACAGTTGCACCAGCTGACCCACCAGTGACGGATGTACATCGATCCGGAGAGCTGGCAGCCAGCTATTGTGCCATAAAAGATATGTTATGCTTAAGGAATGGGATCGCGGTTGGAGCAGGAGGGACAAATAAACTTACAATACAAATGTTACTGTGGTTGGCTCCTAGCCATGTCAACAAATGTATCCATTCAAACGTGTGCACCGTCTTTCGGGCCCAAACCAAGGAGCCGAGAGGTTCCATTCAAGGCCAACTTCGAACTAATGAACTTCATTACACTTCATCATGTCATCCGTTGGCCTCCTTTCCTCTTCTTCCATCCACACCCTGGTCACGCGAACAACGTACATCGCGGAAGTCGGGGTGTTGGAATGCGCAGCATGTGGCTCAGCCATCGGAATATGGTTCGAGAAGTAACGGTGCTGAGCGGTTCCTGTGATTTACACAAGGCGCCGAACACGCTCATCACCCACGTGGTGTTCCCAGCAGATATGAACCAAAGTGCGAAGGCAGTGATGGTCTTTACGTCTGCCGATCAAATGGGCCAGGTTCCACAAAGGTACAGTAGGATTAGATGTACGGCTGCATTGTACACTCTATCCTTCAGGGAGAGATTGATGTCGCGCCGGAGCCATTGGTAGCGAAAGTCGCAAAAGCTCATCGAGCTTTTGTTATACAGTTCATGACCTCGTCTTCGATTCCAAGGACGCTTATACAACTGTCTAGGTAGCTGAATTACAGCGACTTCAAGTTGATCTCCACCATGTGTCAGCGCAGGAGGCGGTCCATGTCAATCCTGGAGGAAACCTTTACAATTTGAGGGTGCAAAGAATAGTCCGAAACGGTTGACAGCCAGTGCTAATTTGTCCAGAACCGGGTGGCACGTTTGTGAGCTGTCACAGATGAGAGCGATGTCAATATAATCCAAGCAAAGAAATCGTTCACTTGGGAGCAGCTTCACATCTTCTAAATCCTGCCCAGTGGACGTGATTTTCATGACTTCGTCAACCGCGAAGTTGAAGAGGAATGGTGACAGCGGGCATCCCTATTTTACACCGCTGGAGATAGTGAACAGCGGCGACAGTTTGTCGTCAGCTTCCCTCTGCTAAGGCATGGGCGCTCGGATGACATGTATATATCTATCGGGCACACTATTCCATAGCATGCAGTCCCAAAGAGAAAATCGATTCAGCGAATCGAAGACACTTTAGATGTCGATGAACACGACAACAATGCGCGGCTAATATATGTGACGATGCTCCAACAACTGACGTAAATAGATGAGATCGATGCAGCCCAGATCTCGACGAAACCCAATATGCTCCTCACGAATCTGGCTTACACGAGAGCCAGTCAATGTGTGTAGGATGACAGAAGCAAGTAACTTGGAAGCGATGGAGATCAGACTGATTGCACTAGGTTTGCCGCATTCCTAAAGTGAGCCTCCCCTACAGATCGTGACAATAACAGAGCAGGTTCAGTAGGTTGGGACAGTTTCCTGCTCCCACAGTTTGACTAATAACTCATGTACATCATATACATGAGCAGAGCCCCCGAATGTGAAGAGGGCTGGATGTAGATCATCTGATCCCGCGGCCTAAATAATCTTCAATGGTCTGATATCACGCTTGACTTTGAGCTAGTGTGGATCCAGAGGGACAGCCTAAAAAGCAGGACAATCACCGGCAGGCGAGAAATCTGACAAACCCGGCCAGTTAAATTGTTTTTCAAAGTGAGCGGCTCAACGCTTCAAACGTTGTGACAAGTTGGGGATAAACTGTCCACTCTCGTCAAATACAGTTCACTAACACCAGGTCTCCTGCGGCTCATTTCTCGCATCAAACGGAATAAGTTCCGATGGTTGCCAACGGCAACGGCCACGTCCAACTCCGACGCACGATTAGACCGCCATGATCCGCGGTCTCCGTTAAGGGTAGCACGGCGTCTTAGCCTGAGGTCTCTGATAGTCCCGTATTCGCTTTCAGCCAGAATGTGCCGACAAGCATCGATAAGTTCCAGAGACGGCGTAAAGATACAATGTCCAGGCTGGTTTTTGGATTTAGCACATGAGGATTTGCCTGCTGCTAGTACGGTCTGGTGAACGTGCGACCAGTAACCTTCAACTGAATTCAGAGATCGTTTACCCGGATGGTACTTTGATACGCATGCAGAACATCTGGCTTTACCAGGTGGCAACTATCCATGCGCTTATAGCGTCGCCGCGAACTGTAAGATCGGCACAAACGAGTGTGTGCTCAGAGTCCACGCTCGTGCTTCAAGTCGAGTGACAGTTTCGGATGCGGCCTCTCCAGCGGTAACTGACTACGTGGTCAATTTGTGTCCACGGCTGGTGGGCGCCATGTCACCTTCCGACGGGTGCTGTGCCTGAAGTTAGTGCTCGCGAGAAACAAGCGAGCATCTTCACACGAATGTAGCAACCACTCGCCGTTATCATTACACCATGTAGGCCGCCCAGATGTAACTCATCAGTGGACGATTTTCCAACTTGAGCGTTCAGATTCCCAGAAAGCACTACAGTATCCGTACCTCTTCTGTGACGAAGGAGCTCGTTCGGTTGGTGAAAGTAAGCAACATTCACCGAGTCGGCGATACAGACTGTGGGGACGTAGGCAGGACAAACGGGCACATATTAACCAAGGACGACTACGAAGCCAAACGGACGACAAACATCCGACTACTGATTGGGATCCAATTAACCAGGGCAACTTCAACCCGGTGATTCAGGGTAATACCCACACCAGCTTGGCCGACACTCGAAACTGCATCTCTTGATAAACGCAGTGAGAAAGCACTGTTAGCGTGGATCGCACAGAATTCTAGCACTGCAGGCGGGTTTCCGATAACCAGCAAATACCGATCGAGAGGGTCGAGGGTTCGAGCAAGCGCTGGTCCTAACACCAGAAAACAACATTATAAAGAATGAAAGGAAAGCCCAACTGCCGGTCTAATGTTGGGAAACATTAAAACGGAATGTTGATAGCAAAACAAGAATAAACACAGACTACGGTGAAAGAAATTAAATAAGGCTCAGTAAGCTCCTGGCTATAGACCTGAAAATAAGTATTTCATTGCAACCTGCCAAAATAACCCGACATAAATTGCAGCATGCAAGCGTGGCCATTAATCATACTCGGAATAAAACTGCTAGGGTAATTATGAAGCGTGCACCGAAAAACATTCGTGATATACTGACCAACCAATCCGGGTGTGCATTAACCTCAGCTTCGGTCAGAACAGGTGCGATGAGAGGGCCGAATCGGGTTAGTGCGGGCTGCCGTTTGATGAGACGTGTGCGGGTTATGCCGGATATTTCCACCAGTTGTATGCAATTAGGCTTCGATAACCTCGCAAAAGTGGTCACTGTTGGATTTGTGTGCTCGGTGATCGGATGATGCGGACAGAAAGAAGACGTGTACACAAATCGGCAAAGGGGGCACCAGAAGTTGTCCGGCCGGTAGAAGTCTTGCTGCTGTGGAAATGTCGTGTCCTCAGAGGCGTTGTACAAGCTGCGCTGCTTTTCAAGCTTTCGGCAACTTTGTTTCCGCGCCGGTTTCTGATTAATAGAATTAGCTTCAAAATCCGTGACTAATGCATTTTGTAACAACCACTGAGAATAATCTTCAAGTGACTCGTTATCAATTATCCTATCAGCTGAATGTGAAGTATCCTCATTTGTTCCGACAGGGAGATCGGCAACAAGCTTCATAGGCTCTTCATATAACGGAAACGAAGAAACATGAAGGGTGTAAGGCGCATTGTCCATGATAACCTCAGTTGCCAAGTTGAAGGTTTGATCAACTGGTTGACCGGAGGGACAAACAACAGCAAATTTGTAGCAGTTTGGGGAGGGCAGTAAGGCAGTGGATGGCATAGTGATGAGTGAGTCCCTGCCGTCGGCACTGGGTGGTATGGAGCCATCGGATAGCTGGCTGCTCAGCGTTGGCAGGATGACCTTGTGGTCTCCCAGTAGTTGGTAAGGTGTTCTTGCATCTCGTGATTCACCACTTGAGAACGTTTGCGTGAGTTCAACAGTGTTGGAATCACTGCCTATAGGGAGCAAAAAGGCGACGTCAAATAAGAACGTAGGAGCGTTTAGTCAAGTAAGCACAACTCGTTTCGTTGAAAAATAAATTGAGCACGAAATAAAAGCGAACCCAGTTAACCTGGAAATAAAGTGCCGCGGCGATAAGGACAAATGAAATATACACAAAACGAAATGTAGAACGTGCGCATATAGTCAGCGGAGGCATTTGATCTGATTGTTAGTGACAGCTGGTGTTGCAGATCGGTTTAGCCATTCTAGTTACTGAACTGCAGGTTCAAATGACAAGTTGGGAGCTGCAAGGAAGCCGAGAAAGTGAGCATTGCGTGGGTGCGCATTAGAGAACAGTCAGAGTCTAAACAGGTGGTCTGGATCGACTGAGAACTAGAAAATAAGGCAGCTGATGATAGCATGGTTATTCTGAGCATAAGACAGTGTGGCATTCGATGAGCACCTGGTAGCACACCGTGGGCGATCGTGCGGAAGACCGTGCTTCGCTAACGAGCGAACTCCACCATTTGCATGCGGGCTAGGGATACTGCGAGATCGCCCGCACACCTACGCAGTTTCGAACGACCGACTCACGAGTTAGAACACAACGGTCTCATTCTTTTGGTCAGCGGCCGAAGATGAATATTTCTACAAAACAGGTAAGTTCAGTCCCATGTAAATTCGATCAGATATTAAAATGCCAACACTTCTGGCCATGCAAAAGATAGGTGGCAATAGGTTTCGTCTTTGACAGTTTCAGAATCGCAGTCGATGTGGAGATGAAGCAACGCAATAAGGAAGGAAATGCGATCCTAGTGACCAAACAGTGACTAGAAGTTGAACCGCACACACGCGGCCAAACAACGTGATTAACTAGAATGGATTGTTCTAAATAATACCACTGAGCCCAACCTTGACACTGCAACTGTTACGAGTCACTGATCTAGCATCAACCGAAATGCAACGTATATAGTCATATGTGAACAGAGCCAAGCAATCGGGAGCGTTAAGATGTCATTGCCATGTATGGGGCACTAGGAGACAAAACGCCATACCGAGAGCATAGAGCGATACCCAATGCTGTCTACCGATCTGTAGGACTCAGAATGCAAAGATTTAGAAGCGTGATGGGAAACGGGATCAACAGGTACTACGATAATGCGAGCGATATCGCGTGGCTTAACCAAGAAAGATGTGGTACAAAAGTGGCATGATCTGAAGTAGGCAACGGAAAACTCGAGAGCAGCATGTGTTCCCACTTATTTTCGATGGCGTCCAGTGTCTTCCGAATCTCAAAGGGGAGAGGTGAACAAAGACTTACTCCCCACCTCCTGCGAAAAGGATTTCCGGACTGAGTTCACCTGACCAAGTGCGTACGAATGGCCATGGTGACACCAGGTGTTTACAAAGCACATCTCAATGAATCAACGAATTACCTAAGCCACCGTACCACATTAGGCTCAAGTCTCGTCTTAATGGGATATTTGAAACTGAGCACGAGGAGTGCAATGAATCCACTACACAACAAAGGAGCCGGAGGAATCAAGCTCAAGAAAAACAGTCGCATATCACATGGTAATAGGTGTCCCAATGCATGAAGGTTGAAATATCATTTCGGAGAAGCTGAGAGAATAATTTAAGAGTGGGTTGATTCTGAAGGGACAAAAATGAAACCATACACCCTAAGTGTTGTTTTGCATACACAAATGAAGGATCACGGTGTGAAAATCGCATAAAATAGGTAAATAAAAAGTGGATATCACCAAGGAAAGGCGCGTAGCTAACCTGGAGTTAAAGTGTCTACTGCGCTGGCGTCTGAAAGGAAGTTAAGGGTGAGCACATATTGTTGCGGTGCAGTCATGCTCTCTGGAGTAAAGCGGCATCAACTGAAAACCCCTACATTGGCAATTCCAAGTACGAACATGCAGCTGAAACAGCAGTCGTCCAGAAGGATAAATTAGCTACAATGCAGAAGATATTCTGGGATAGCACACAAGGTAATGAAGACATGAAGGATTAGTGCATTCCAGCTTAGTTAAAAAGGTATGATCCGGGCACCGAAGTGCGGCGGATTCAGTTGTCACGACTCGCGTCTCCACGAAAATAAAGGGGAACAATGGTGGGAAAAGGACGAATACCGTAACACAAGAGATCCTGGTAGGATTTCCAAACTGTGGGAGAAGACAGCTTACCGTTCACCGGTTGAAAGATCGCTTGTTGCGCTACTTGATAGATATTAAGGAATAAAAGCGTCGAATAATGTCCATGTAAGGGTTCCAAAACAACAAGCGGTTAGATATGCGACCAATCCATACGAAAACAATGGCAAATCAGAATACATGCATCTCGGGTTGGCTGTGCAGGTTTCGGTCTGTTCTCCGAGCTAAACAATTTTTTTGAGGACATCTCATCACCAGTCGAGGTGACTTCGTCAGTGCCATACTGCGTGTCAATCTCCACTCTGAAGAGGACCCTGTCTAAACCGAAAAGGAAAGCACACAAACGCCGGAATGTCATTTTCAGGATACAGTCAGTTCATCTGTTTCGATTTTGAGCTCTCAGTCCTCCCTAAGGACTGGCATGCCTTAAGGTGCATAATTCGTTGAAGACTGACGAACAGGCAGTACTTGCCCGAACACTAGATTTTATCGATAGACATCTGCTGTTTATCAGAAACCCAGCTGCAAGATTTATGGGATTGATCTGCGATCCAGATCATGCGACACTGGCGTAGTTGTCCATTATGCTTGTCTGGAGAAAACGCAGCTTCAAGTGACGGTCACGTCGGTGTGGGCATTACTCTGAGCCCCCCTGCTGAAGATGCCCCGATCGATTGGATCCTAATGAACAGCCGGATGTGCGCTGTCAGGTTGGTTGCCTCGTTTGAAGCTACGAAGCCTCGCAGGGACACGGTACCTGTTTGTGACTGCGCTCTAAGCGCCCACAAATTGTAGCGCTGACTCCGTGAAAGACGATTTCAAATATCAACTGAACGCGCTCCTTCGTTACAAAAAACGTACGGACAAAGTGGTGCTGGCTGATGATGTAAACGCGCAAATTTGAAAATTGTCCACTGACGATGTGCATCTGGACGGTCAACAAGGTGTAGGCTCCGTAACGGTTGATGCACCTGCGTGAAAATGCTCGCTTATTTCTTGCGAGCACTAACTCCCGAAGCAGCACCCGCAGAAGGGTAACGTGGAGCCCACCCGCCTCAAAACAGCCATGGACGCAAATCGATCACATAGCGATCAGTTACCGCTGAAAAGGATGTGTCCAAAATTGTCGTTCGACTTGTGGCATAAGCGTGGATTTTGACCACGCACATTGGATTCCGGTTCGTGCCTTGTGCGTTCCATTGCATCTGCTTTGGATAAAGAATGCAAGACCATGTGGCTCCTGTTCCTTGAGTATACTAATGCCTCTGCGAGCCCTGACAAATCGTTACTACTAAAACTGCTCGAAAAAGCGTTCTCCCCACACGCAGGTAATGTAATGCGTGACTACTTCTCGAATCGCACATACTTCACGCAGTTATGTGGTAGATCTTCCGTAATCCTAGTCAATTGTGGATTACAATGAGCTATTCTATCCACCTCTCTGTGTTCCCTCTACGTGGAGAGCCTGCTTGTATCAACTAGTTTCATGGAGTGTAAATGCGCTGACAACATCGTCCTGGGGTGTATATAACCCCAGTAACTGGAATCTTCGGAACTCCAACCAGGACTAGACAAACTCTTGACTAGGTCAAACTCCCGTTCCCTCACCTTTTAGTTTTCTGCGCCCTGACAGACCGTCCTTTTTTAAATGTCTACTTTGGTCGTGAGTGACCAAGGCATCCCTAGTTCATAGTCCGTAAAAGTGTTTCGGTGTTTTTTGTCCTATAATTTATTCTGATCCACACATATGCTTGAAACTTTCCAAAAAGTCAGGAGACTTCTTTTACTCAAAATGCTCTCCGTAACGCGTGATCTAATTCTAAGGTTGAAAATGCATGTAATCTCCCCCATTGGCTGTACTGTTCCGCAGTTATTTTCCTCGGACTTTTTCGAAAGGATTACGCGTTCCCTGTACGAGCACTAGGATTTGTTTCCCGGTGCTCTGGATTAAGCAGGCAATCTCTCATTACAAGCATTTCGACGCATGATTTAGCTTCACATTCAAGATTCTAAACGACCCCTCACATCCCCTAGTTTTAATAAATACAGCATGCATTTCTTCCACGCGGTCGAAATTTTAAGTTTTATTTTCCCGTACCTCTTCGTATCGCAACTCCATTTTGCTTTAACTATTTCGTTTGCTTGTCGACCCGAAAGTGACGATGCATCAATTGCGAAAATGTCTGGTTTTTTGAAAATTAACACATTGTTTTTCATGTCAGTGCAAATCGTTCTTCAACTGATTCTATGTTGCAACATGTCCGCAGTGTTACTGTAAATTTCTGAAAATACTTCCACAAGGGGGTAAAAACTTATCTTGACTTGCATGCGCCGACTTGCGGGTGCGTTTTAGAGGACATCCGCAACGACGCTGTGAGCGCATAGACAATTTCCAACTGGCAAAACCGGATGTTCTGAATGCGCAACAAAGTACGCTGGCATCCGAGCTGAGTAAGCGCCCATTGAACATAGCTGGATATCATTGCTCACATATCCGCCAGCCGGCATTAGCAACAGGCATGTCTTCATGTGGCAAATTAAAGTGTCAACAGGGACATTGGGTATTTACGCAGTCTCCGGAACTTATCGATGCTCGCTGACATGCTCCGGCTAAAAGCGAACACAGTGAGACTCGCAAAGATCTCAGGGCTAAACTGCGTGCAATCTGAAGAGAGACCGTGAAGCCTAATTGGCCTCATCGTGCCTCGATGGAAGCAACTGCTGCCCTTGATAACCACCGGAAGTTACTCCCTCGGATACGGGAAAGGGGCAGCAGGAGACCTGGTGTTAGCGAGACCATATGCAGCGAGAGTGGACAGTCGATCCACAGCATATTAGAGCTTGGAGCGTTGGGCCGAACACTTTGATAAACAGTTTAATCAGTTAGAATTACCAGCTTCTCTGTTGGCCATTATTCGTCGTTCTCTGCTCGATGGATACCAGTCCGTTAGATGGTTGTCTACCTGGACTCTCCACTTCCGATCCACAAGGAAATTTCTGATCCATTTGTGTAGCGAACAACCAACACCGTACATCCTCAGCCTGTCAAGGAGCACTGCATGGTTGACGTTGTCAAAAGCCTTACTGAAGTCAATGTAAATGACATCGATCGAATGGCCTTGGTTCATCGCTTGTAACCACTCGTGCCTTGTCAACAGTAAGTTGGTGATGCACGAGCGACCTTTCATGAAACCATGCTGTGCGGAGGTCAACAGGTTTTTCGACTCGAGAAGCTCCAGAAGGTTCTTCTTCACGATCTTCTCGAGCGTCTTTGCCAAAACAGCAGTCAGGCAGATCGGCCGGTAGTTATCCACTTTACTTGGGTTACCACCTTCGGTATAGGCTTTACGACTGAGCATTTCCAGTCGTCTGGTAACAGTCCAGTGAATAGTGACCTGTTAAACAGTTCAGTTACAGAAGGCGCGATGATGGCCGATAGGGACTTGAGGGTCAGTGGGTGTATACCATCTGGCCCAGCAGGCTTTGTCCCGTCAAGATTTGCTAGAAGCTTGCGCACATCCTCAATATTGCAGTCCAAGCTGTTAAATTCGGCTGGAGCGGTACTCGTCGAACTCGTTACAGACACCTGGTCACTTGCGAATACGGAGGCGAAGTGCGTCGCCAATGCGGACGCACGATCTGTACTCGAGGTTAGGGGCTGTCCATCGGAGCCTTCTAACACTGGGACATTGGCTACAGGCCTCAGGCGCCGTTTCACGTATGCAAAGATCCTCTTGAGAGCAGTTTTTGCGGCGGCTGCAAGCTCCTCTTCGAAGCTTCTGCGTTTTCTTGTTTTCGCGTCGTTGCAGCGAGCTCCATTTTTTCACGAACGAAGTAGGGCGTGTAAGCCTTGACATAATATTTCAGAAGGGGCCGAACGAATACTGAGAACAGCTTCACACACGGCTGTCTTGCGTGCAGACTATTCAGCCATAGGCTCAGAGTGGTGTCCCCTAAGACAACTGCCTACCACAGCTTGGGCAACCGGGTAGTATTTTGCCCGTTGACACAATCATGGATATCGCAACTACTACAATTATGTTGTTCTCATTTGCTACTGAGCTCCTGACTGCCTAGGCACTTCCATCTCCAGGCAATCCTATCTTAATCAATAAGTAAGTAATCTCAGCAGTTGAGCAACTAGACACAGCCAACAAAAAACCCTGGAGATCAGTGGATAAGGAACAGTCAGCGCGCCATAATCATCATGGCATAGTAGATGAAGGTGAGCAACACACTTCAGATAATATGCCGCAGGAAGAAAGGAACACTTTGACAAAAAGTAGAACAAAACATTTTTAGTTTGTTTTTCACACACCGATTAGTCTCTTTTTGTCAGTTTCAATGTTTGAAGTAGCTAACATGTTAATCAATACAATACTGTACACAATTCGTCCACTGATTCCAGTCGCAGGCTATGTCTTCAAGAGTGTTAAGCTATTGGCACTCCTCATCTTTGGGTCCCCATCCTGGAAGACGTACGGATCCAGCAGCAGCTAGACACGTCAGCGATTTCATGTGCAATTACCATGTAGAAAGCTGACCTCCACGCGGTCGCCTCCAGCCTGGTCCTCGACGAGCGAATAGAGCGCGACGCTGTAGATGCTCAGGTGCCATGCGTAGGACGTGACCGAGCCATCTCAACTGGCGCAGCAAAACCAGTTTGATGAAGAGAATACTCGCACCCCCCAAGATGCGACATCGAAAGTCATTCCTATTAACTCGATGTTGACACTAAACACGAGCAGTCCTCCCTAAGCAACCGTTACCGAAGGCAGAAAGACGATGCATGTCTTCCACGCG